TAAAAAATGTGTTTACTTAAGTATCTACATATGTATGTACATTTCAACATACCCTGCCAGCAATTGGAATATAATTTTATCGCCTATCACCACGATATCACTTCTTCATCACTATTGGAAGTTATTAGAGCTTTTCCATCTTCTTAACAAGTACCCGGACGATTTTTACTTTCTGAAATTCAGAAAATTAAATCTTGAAAGCTTATTCAAGTCATGGTGAAATCATAACAAGGTGTGTTCAGAAGATTCACCTCACCTTTTCGGCAGTTCTATTTGTGTAAATTTTTTTATTTTGGATTTACCGATAACCGAATCATTAGGTGGCAAACTTGATAATTTCTCTAGTAGTTGGTACACTTCAATTACCTGTTCGATATTTATTCAATTTTAAATCCCCCGCTGCCGCAAGGCACTTTCTGTTTTTTATAGGCAAACAGCTACGAATCAGCTGTTTATAAACAAAGTTTACCAGACTAACAAAAATTAGCTGAAAAAGACGTTGATAAATTGTCGTTTAAATATAAAACAGATGTGATAATGACTTTTTACTACAAAATTCTGGAAATGTGTAGTTGAAATTTCACTGAAAATATGTGCTTGTATTCTAAGCGAAAAGCAGAACTCTGCGTCGAATTCCCATTACATTTTATCATTAATTTTACTTTCAGAAGAATCTTCGATTTTATCGCATAAGTTACTTTAATTCCTATCGAAACAGTTCCAAATTGCTGTATTGCTTTCATATCATTAAGACGTGACGAATAAGAATTCAAAAAAAATTTCTGCACACATACACATGTATGTATGTATGTATGTACATAATCGACACCTGATAATACACTGCCGAAGCATTATATGTAAATTATAGCGTATACATATACGAATAATTAAAAGTTAAGATATTATTTGTTTATGAAAAAATTTCGCATTGTTATTGAGCGTAAAAGTCCCCTGCAAATATACATATGTACATATGTACATACATACACACATATTAAGACATACCTACAATACGCTTGTTGTATTGACTAGGCAAATATGTAAGTCTTGCAGAAATTGTTATCTGTTTCTATTCGGAGTAGAAGTGAAAAAAACCTATAAAACTTCATTTGACTCAGAAATTGTCTACAGTCCAACTTTAGACACATTATCAGTTATACCGTTGTTCTCACTTAAACGTTCACAATGCAATTAAAATTTGTGCTATTCGCTATTTTAGTGGCGGCTTTTGAAATTGTTTCCGCCACAAATTACTGTGATACATCCTTGTGTAGTTCTGGCCAACATATAGCATGCAATAATACTGGGGTAAGATGTGGCTGAGGATATTAGCAGAGCAAATCCATATGAAAATTATCAACTAACAATCTTGTTTTATAGAATTTTGCATCGTCGTGCCAAAATGCAGCCTTAGCCTCACTGACACAAGAAACTAAAAATTTGATTGTTAGTGCGCACAATACCAAGCGTAACACAGTGGCTGGCGGAAGTACCGCACTCGAACCCGCTTGCCGCATGGCCACCATGACATGGGATGACGAATTGGCCTTCTTGGCGGAACTGAATGTCAAACAATGCCAAATGAGGCATGACGCTTGTCACAATACCGC